GCTTAAAACGGCGTTTTGACGCAATAACAGGCACCTTTTGCTCGACATTACCCCCCGCCGAAACTATTGGTCGTCCTCGAGCAATGAGGGAATCGTGTTGTACATGTTGCAAAGGTGAGCCACAAGAGTCATCAGGAATGGTGTCTTGACCAACAAGCTTATCAACTTTGTCTTCTTCAGGGGCCAAATGCATACGTGAACGCCATTCTGCGCGTGTTGTCCTTGGGTCAAACCATGGTGTGGTGGGTTCCGTGTCAAAGTTAACCTTGGCTAGTCGATCCACATGTACCCATGAAGCTAATGGTTGCCCTTGAATGGTCTCCAACTTGTAGGTTCCAAAGTCTTGGTTCTTGGCGATTACAACAAATGGTCCTTTGTAACGTGGCTCAAGTCCATATCGTCCTTCGTGTGTCAGCTTCACATAATCACCAATATCGAAATCCAGAATGTTAAGTGCCTTATCCCATCGCTCCTTATCTTTTTGACTAATAGCTTGCATGCGTTGTGTAGCGGCAGCACGAACTTGATCCACTTTTTCCAACTCTTGAGCTGTGAGCTCTGCCATGGCACGAGGATCCTTGAGGGCTTGGTCTGATATGTATGGTCTTAAAGAATCACCTGGTAAGATAGGATCACGTCCGTATGTCATAAAGAAAGGACTATAGCCGGTTGTATGGTGGGTTCTGATTCGACACGCAAATAGTGCTGCATCCAAATACTCATCCCATACATGGAGTGCGCCATTGACATACTTCCTGAGCATCGCCTTGAGAGTACCATTGAGCCTTTCACACTTTCCATTGGTACGTGGGTGGAACGCAGACGTTAACTTGTGATTAATCTTGACCCTTTTTGTATAATGTGCCAGCACCTTGCTTGTAAAGTTCGCGCCACGATCAGTGAGGATTTCTTTTGGACACCCGAATCGCATCACAATCTCTTCGTACAAGAAATCAGCAACAGCCTTTCCAGACGCCACATGTACAGCTCGTGCGATAGGATAATTGGTTGTATAATCAACGGCTACGAGAATCCATCGGTTTCCATGCACAGTCCTTGGCAGCTCCCCTATGAAATCCAAATGCCACCTTTCAAATGCTTGAGGAACCGGCAATGGGTGCATTGGATCATGGTGTATATGGTCTTGACGAGCATTCATTTGGCATGATGGGCATATCGACAACCAGTCTTGAATATCCACTTTCATCGTTGGCCACCAATACCTTGTACGCATCAAATCGAATACAGTCCTTCCTCCAGCATGACCAAATCCATCATGGAACATCTTGACCTTATCGGCACGTGCAGCAAACGGCAAATAGCGGACTTCTTTCATCATCGAGTCATCATCACCTTTCTTCATCCTCACTTTACGATACACCTTGTTGTCATGAATCACAAAATGGTCCTGCTCCTGCTTGAGAAAATCATCCACCTCCTTTGGCAACTCCTTCGGCTTGTTCAGATAATACTGAGGCCAATCTTGTCGATGGTCATCCGGCAACTTGTTCATGCTTGCATACAAATATTGTGGCTCCAATGTCTTGTCGCCAGCTTCTGCATCATAATCCTTGCGCGAAAGAGCATCAGGTACGTCATTCTCCTTGCCCGGCTTATATAAAATCTCAGGATCGAAAAGTTCCAACTCATTCATCCATCGTATCAACCTAGGTGTTGGCTTTGCTTGTGATCTCAAATACTTGAGCGAATTGTGGTCTGTGAAAATCTGATATGGTCGCCCCTCCAAAAAGCATCGCCAGGTCCTTAAGGCATGCAACATTGCCAACAACTCCCGTTCCTGTGCTGGGTAATGATGCTCTTCTTTCGACAACTTATGAGATTCGTATGCTAATGGATGCCACCTTCCTTCATCATCTTGCTGTAGCAACACTGCTCCTACTCCAACATCGGATGCATCGCATTCAACCCTATACGGCTTGCTGGTGTCTGGTGCTTGCAACACTGGTGCGCTCATCAACTTCTCCTTGATCATATCGAAGCTTGTTTGACATGCATCATTCCATGTGATTGCTCTTCTTTTTGGTCCGGATCCTTTGGTAAGATCAGTCAATGGTGTGGCAAGGCTTGCAAAACAAGGTATAAAACGACGATAGTGTTGAGCAAGGCCAATGAACTGACGGACTTCTTGTACGTTTGTAGGTACTTTCCATCCTTGTATTGCTGTCAATTTGCCTTCTGCTGGTCGTATGCCATCACCTGAGACTCGAAAACCCAAGAATTCCACTTCCTTTTGTCCAAAATGGCACTTCGATATGTTGGCATATAGCTTTGCATCCCGTAGCTTCTCCAATACCATCCTCACATGCCGCAAATGATCATCCATCGACTTGCTGTAAATAAGTATGTCATCCAAGTAGACAAGCACAAAATGGTCGATACAATCTCCAAGGACACGGTTCATGAGGCCTTGAAACGTTGGTGGTGCATTACACAGACCGAAAGGTAACACCAAGAAAGAGAATTGCCCGTACCGAGTATTAAATGCTGTCTTAGGAATATCTTCCTCCTTGATACGAATCTGATGATACCCTGATTTGAGGTCCAAACTTGTGAAAAACGTTGCTCCTTGAAGCCGCTCCAGGCATTCACCAATTCTTGGGAGAGGATGTTGATTTCGTATCGTCACCTTGTTCAACGCCCGATAATCAACACACATCCTCATCGTCCCATCCTTCTTCTTTACAAACAATACTGGTGCCCCCCATGGAGATACGCTTGGCTTGATAAGTCCCAGCTTCAACAGCTCATCCAATTGGCGACGCAACTCGTCAAGCTCCAATGGTGACATTTTAAAAGGTGGTCTCGCGATGGGTTTTGCATCGGCAGTATCAATCACATGCTCCACATCCCTGACAGGTGGTAGACCAGGTAATTCATCTCGATAGACTTCTTCATATTCATCCACCAACTCCTTCATCATAGGTGGGATATCCTTTGCTTGAATGTCAGCCTCCAACAAATGCAGCATATACATAACTTCGACATCCTTTTTTCGCACGGCTTTTCCAACTTGCTTATGAGATAACAAGTAACGCACACCAGAGTCACCCAAGTATCGCTCAGGCTCCAACATGTACTTCTTGCCATCCATGACAATCGTACAAACATCCGTTTTCCAATTCACATCTGGTGCGTAGGCTGCCAGCCAATTCCTTCCAAGGATGATATCAAACTTGGTGTTCAATACGTATGCTTCAACTTCCATATCACAACCAGCCATCGAAAACGAGAACACCACCTTCTTGGAGATTTCCAGCTTGTGCCCGCCAGCAGTCTCAACCTCGCGCGTATCAACATTGATGCCCTTCAAATCCTTACACAACCTTGACGACACATAACTTGCACTGGCTCCTGTGTCAATCAACGCCAAAAACTTCTTATGCTTTGTCTTGCCGCCATACAATGGTAATGAGCCTCCAGCATATGAATGCAACTCCTCCAAATGACGACGATCTTCCTGCAGCTTATTCTCCTCGGCGAGAGCAATATGGTCAGCATCATCACCGTGTTGGCTACCCACAGCTGCCTTGTTCACTTCATCACCACTCGAAGCATGATCAGCCAACCCCACTGAAAGATCCTTGTTGCCATGAGACACCTGAACGCTCCCCTGATCTTCCAGCGACCAGCTTTGTTCTTGTTTAGGGGGAAGTTCATGATGGCGCGTACGTATCCCCTTACTTACGCACGCGCGTTGGGAAAATCCTTCTTCGTTGCTTGTTGTCCTTCATGACCATCACTTCTTGGCTGACGACATTCACGCCTGTAATGGCCCATCTTGCCACAACGAAAACAACGAACACGAGCACGATTGGATTGTGTGATTGCCATGGTATCCAATTCCATAGGCGTTGGACCTTGACTTGTATGCACGTTACGATGATTGTGGAATCCAAAAGTATTCATAGGACGAGGATTGTGAACACCACGAGCTACGCATTGAGCAGCTTCATATGATTCAGCTACTTCATACGCCTTATGCAACGACTCGGGCTTGGTAACCAACACGTGCAACTTGACTTCATACTTCAATCCATTCGTGAACACAAAGAGAGCATCCTTGACGTCCATTTCAGGTAACTCCAGCATTGTATCCCTGAAGATACGAATATACGATGACACTGAACCACGTTGCCTTAGCTCCTGCAACTTCTGACGAGCAAGTTGTTCAGCGTTTTCGGGCTTGAACTCCGTACGAAAAGCTTCACAGAATCCATTCCAATCATGAGGAGTCACCACACTGCTATCATTCTCCAACTGCCGCCACCAAGTTACTGCACCATCACGAAGCAATGCCACCGCAAACAATACACGCTGCTCCTCATCATACATGCGCACCAATTCACAATACTTCGATACTGTGTACAACCATGCCTCAACCTTTCTTGAATTACGTTCGCCACTGAAAGTATCAGGCTTAACGGGTCGTAATGCTTGCAACAAGTTGCGATGATTGTTGTTATCGGTGCCATGCATAATCTCGTCCTCCTGTGGTACTTGTTGTTGTTGTTCCAGTAGCCGCTGAAGCGATTGCATCATCGTCATCAGTGCTTGCTGTTCAAAAGTCAAATTTTCGGATTCCATGTTGAGGTAAGTGTTGTTATAGATATAGATGTTGTTGTGTTGTTGAAAAATAAAGTGCTTTTGTCGATTGAAAATATAAATGGATCAAGCTTTCATCAGCTACCAGTTGTCAGCTCTCGTTTCCTAGTTGTCTTAGGTCTTGCCAAAAAGAGAAGTCGAGAAAATGTATAATAAATGTGCCTTCAAA